CACTCGCGCAGGGAGAGGCCGCCACGCCCCCATCTCCGCGCCGTTCTTCCACACAACCCAACCAAGCTCTTTCTGCGCAGGCGCACACTTGCCCGCAGGCGCACTCGCGCTGGGAGACACCACGCCTCCTCCCCGCCGCAATTCTCTATGCGCCGGCGCACTCGCGCAGGGAGAGGCCGCCACGCCCACATCTCCGCGCCGTTCTTCCACACAACCCGACCAAGCTCTTTCTGCGCAGACGCACACTTGCCCACCGCCCCCCCCCCTCTCTCTCTGGCCGGCACGGGGAGGGGCTCCTCACGCTCCTTCTGCGCAAGCGCGCACAGAACCCCTCGGCTTCCTCATTGGGCGGAGCTGCTTCAAATATACAGAGACGGGGTTCTTCTGCGCAGGCGCACAGTTGAGAGCGCTTTACGCCAGGTCTTTCTGCGCAGGAAGACTACGGCACTCAACAAGCTTTGGCTTCATGACAGCGCAGGGCGCATGCGCCCAATCGACAAGGTGTTGCTAGACATCAAATATGTAGAAGAGGCGTCCCGGTACTCTACGGAAAGTTCGTTTCCAGGTTTCCGTTACAAAATCCCCATGAGCGAAAGACGGCGATCTCCTATGGAAACCAAAGAAGAAGAAGAAAAACCAAATGTTTTTCACTGGTTTTTAAGGACATCGCGTTTCAAAGATTGCCGATGAACCGTAATAAAAACAAAAATGTAATGTGGCACATGGGTTGCATGCACAACGTGAACACTGCAACCCATAGGTGTTAAAAACACACATTAAGATTGGTTCCTGTCCGAATTTGAATAAATTAAATCATTTACAGTGTGGTCTAGTACAACAGCCTTAGCTTAGTCATTTTAGCTTCTGCAGAAAGTTCAGGCTTGATTCGACCTGGCACTCCCCCTCTCTGTTTTTCTGGTAGTCCCACATATCCCCCCCCATCTCTCCTCTAACAATACATCTCGAATTAATCATAAACACCCCAATAACTGAACCATGGTTGAGAAAATCTTTGCCACTTTCAGTTTCTTCATGGTTAAACACTGAAGTTTTGGAATCGTTCTATGATTATTATTTTGGGCTTCTCAAGGATCAACTGTAATCCTACTTTTGCATTTTCTTCCTTAATCTTCCTCAGTTCCCATTTCACTGCTCTTTTCCACCAGCAATGTGGTCACATCCTTATCTCTTAAATTAAGGAGGGCAGTGGAGAAAAGCGGCTCTGCCTAAATCAGCAACATGACACTTTTGCTTGCTTATGTGTGTGATGATTTCCATAAATGCACTTTCTAAGAGGGAGGGAAAATGTGATTTTGGCACTCTGTGGATGAATGTTAGCATCATTAGTTGGTGTGGACGGTGGGGAAGCTGAGAAAAAAAAAATAAGTAACGGAAACTGGGAAGAAAAAGAGGAAAGAGGAAGAGAATGTAGGAGAGAAAGAGATCAGAAGGAGTGAATTGTGTGTGAATGTCACAAGAGTTTGCAGATTTGCTTGCTTTATTTTAGGACTGGTCTTTAGAACTTATCCACAGGAACTCCCTGTTTCCCAAACATGCCCCCCAGTAAGCACGCTGGAAGTGTTGCACCAGTAAGCTCTGTGGATGACAATAACCAGTGGAGAGTTTATTGCAGTCGACAGACTGCCACAGGAAAGTCGATGGAATAACTGAAAATATAGTTTTAAGAGTTGGAGCAGTGTTCATCTTTGCAAGCATTTCGGCAAGAAACACAAAAAGCAAGGAAAAAAGTTTTGGCACTTCAAAGACGGACAAGTATATTTGTAATCTTTTGTGGAAGTAGACCATGTGCCACAAATGTCTTCTTCTTCTTCTTCTTCTTCTTCTTCTTCTTCTTCTTCTTCTTCTTCTTCTTCTTCTTCTTTTCTTCTTCTTCTTCTTCTTCTTCTTCTTTTTCTTCTTCTTCTTCTTCTTCTTCTTCTTCTTCTTCTTCTTCTTCTTCTTCTTCTTCTTCTTCTTCTTCTTCTTTTGCTTTGCATTTCTTGTTGAAAACACTTATATTAAAATGCACCAAAACCCACAAAATGCACTAAGACACAGCCACAGGCAGGCAGGCAGACACACATACACACATACAGAGACACAATAACATCAACAGGAAACAAAGCAAGCCACTGTCGTAAGTGATGGAGAAACATCTGCCTGCAGGGAAACAGGTTGCCGGTCCTTGATATGCTCCCAAAAGAGGAGAAATGGGATCCTATTTAAGGATCCTTGTGGACTGCAGCATTCCCTTATGGATTTGTTAAAATTACTGAAGCAGGAGGGCCCTTCTCAGATCACACAGCAGGCCAACGTGAGGTTGAGCCCCCAGGAAACAGGAGCTGCATCTTTTCGGCATCAATTCTGTGTTCATCACGATTCCCTTCTCCCTCTCACCCTGGGTGAACCGCGCCTCAGTCCGCTCACGCTGGAGAGGGTGGCTTTCTTTTTGGCCAACAAGGCTCCGTTGGGACAACGACCAACCCATTTCCTGCCGTCTCCCATCGTCTGGCTTTGCCGTGTCCTGTAACTTCAGTCAGACTCGAGACAGCCGCCCCGTCCCCACGGCTCTCGGATCCGTCCGGGCCTCGCTCACGACCTCCAGGGCCAAAAGAGACGCTGTGTTGGCGAGAAAGACGGCCAAGCCTTGCAGGGCCGTAGAGACCGACCGCTCGGAGATGGGCAGGGAGTCTGATCTCATTTGGAGTGAGCTTTCAATCCTGGCTGTCCCCCCCCCCCCCGGTCCCCAAAGGCTCCCCCCCCCCACTTCAAGATTCAAGATTCCCCTCTTACAGGGGGCTTCAGGCTGCCTTCAGATCAGCTCCTTGTCCTGCGGCCTGGCAAGGATTTCCACAAGAAACACACCCACAAGGATCTGGTGTGAAGGCGGCAGGAAGCACCCACTTGTACGGCAGACAGTTAGGGGAATCCTGGACCAAGGACCGAGGGGGGAGGGGAGACCCCACTCCAGCATTTGAGGGGCAGCACATCCCCCCCCACAACCCAGTCAGGAATCATCTGGTTGTTGTCTTACTTGCCTTACTTTTACTGAATTTATACCCACCCCTCTAGTTCCCATCCTTCAGAGCCCTGCCGCCCCTTTGCCACCGTGGCTTCCTTCACTGAGTCCATTCCTCTCACCTTTGGGTCTTCCTCCTCCCCCACCCCCGCTCCCAGGGGTGGTAGGGTGGATCAGCTGAGACTCAGGCGGCCTGGGTTCAAATCCCTCCACAGGTCCGCCCCCTCCCTGGGCGCCTCCCTCCCAGCCCTTGAGAGATCCGGGGGGGGCGCGGTGAGGGGGGGTCCCCATCGGCGGGCAGCGAGGGGAGGGCGCACAGCCCACCAGCAACAGAGGAGGTCTCGGGAGGAGAAGCGTTCCTTGGGCGGATCACGGCTCCCATCTCGCAGCCGTGGATTCTGGGGTTTGTAGTCCCCCGAGGAAAAGAGGCAGGTGTCCCTGTCCGCCGAGGCGTCACCCTCCACCACACACACCCCCGGGGAGGAGCGCTGGGGGGGGGGGGCCGAGGGGGCGGGCCGGGAGGCCCG